GAAAGAGCCATCTAGTTGAGTGAAAGGCACATTAAAAGGTACTGTTGGTTCGAGAGAGCATGGCATTTTTAAGGAACCAAAGGCTAGTGTGGATTGAACACAGATTTCAGGGTTTTGTGTGTTGTGCCCAGGATTTGGAGGTTTTATCCCTGGAGCTTAGGAAAGTCATTGTGATGGAATGGTGTCTGATAAGATTTGTGTTTTCAAAGATCACTTTGTAGCAGAGTGGGGTGGGGAGTAGCACTGATAGATCAGGGATGCTAATTTGAAGGTCCTTGCAGTATTCCCAGGCAAAAGATGATATTTTGGAATGGGAAAGTGTTGGTGGACATAAAAAAAGTGGACTGATTCGAGAGATATTTAAGAATTAAAACCATCGTACTTTTACATTAATTTTACATTATTTTTACACTGATAATGGATTAGGTGTGGAGCATGAAGGCAAGGAGGTGACTAGGTGTTAGGTTATTGGATGAATAGTTGTGCCAAATATTGAGATATGGCCAGGTTTATGGTGTAGATGGTGGTGGCCGTGGGGGTTGGTGATGGAATGGGTGTTAAGGTTAGGTTATGAGTTTGGTTTTGGAAATTTAAAGTTGTAAGTTATCTATGTATAAACTATAGTTAAAGCCATACTTGTGAAAAAGGTCTCCTTTTATTTTGTTCTATGATTTCCTGTTTGAAATTATTAAGATTTAAATTTATATCTTTAAGCCGAAGGAGGAATGTTTTAATTAAACCGCTTTAACTCTTACTACAAATGGAAAAATTATTGTTTTGTTTAACAGTGATTTATCTGTGTGTAATAGAAAATTTTGCTTTTTAGAGCCCTGAGTGTATTTTCCCCAGAGGGAGGTTTTTTTTTTTTTTTTTTTTTTTTTTTTAAAGCGAAATCAGATATTCTCTTATTGACCTCAAAGAATATATGAAAGTGTAGTTGGTGTGATATATTAAAGGTTGTTTTAAGATCATATGAAGAGGATTAAGATAATTTTTTCCTTTAGTTCACTGACATATTAAAAGTTACTGGCATAAGTTAGAAAATGTTTAAAGGAGACACTTTAATGTTTTTTGCTAGAAATTTATGAACTATAAAATTTTTTGAAGATGAGTTTGTTGTGTAGTATTTAATGCAGTGTATTCAAAGGATGAGACCAAATTATAGGAAACATGATTTCTTTCGGTTTAGTCTCAAGTTAAATGACAAAATTGTAATATTTGATTCATTCTCTCATGTATCTCTTACTACGTAATAAAAATGTTGTATTGGTGATGTATAAGGAAGTGATTCAGTTTGTAGTCCTGTTAGTGAGACCGAGCTAAGACATGGAACTGTTTAAATTCAAAGTGAGATGTGACCAGCCTTACAACCAAGTCTTTTTAAGAGTTCAGGAGAGTGAGTGATTCAGAGCCTTTGTTGTGTTGGTCTTAATGCCAGTCCTGCAGACCATTCAACATGGATCACTTCAAATACTTCTCCTTTTAATCCCTGAACCTAAATTTCTGAGCTGTGCTAGGGAAAATAATTCAGTTCTGTGGATTGATATCACTAGAAATTCTTGGTCTTCAACTTTTAACTGGGTAGGTCATCAACCGTGCTTGGAAATCTTTTTACGTTTCCCCTCTTAGCTTCTTTCACATCTTTACCCTTATCCTCTAACCCTCACCCGATGTTCAACATCCTCCCATCAGTGTGTTATTATTTCATAGGAGAGAACACAGGCCTGAATCCTTTCACTTTCCAGCTCCTCATCTCCAAATTTATCTACACTGCACAATTCTTAATGTTTTCGACCTATTAACACATACTTTATTCTTAATCCTTTCTTGTGCTCCTAGGCTAAAAACTATTAGTCTTAGTGTGTTTTTCTCTTAAAGAATTGCTAGATTTTATTTGCAGATAATGGTTTTTAAAAAATTGTTTCTTTATACCACTTTCATGCAAGGTATTGGGAAGATTTTTATTTTCTATGATCTGGAACAGTTTAATATATGAATTTTTCTTACATGTTTGAATAATAATAACAAGTGGAAGTACTTTGAGTCTGGATCCTTTCAGGGTTATAGTCTATATAGACTCACTTGTCTTGGGTTAACTTTGGTAATTTATGATTTTTCTAGAAAATATTTCAGCAAGGTTTTCTAGTTAAATAGAATGCTACATAATATTCTTTATTTTTTTTCCATTGCATCTGTGGTTATCTCCATTTCTCATTCCAGTTTTTGTGTAATTATGTAATTATGTTTTATTTTTCTCTTGATCTGACTAGGAATTTATTTATTTTACTTCTTTTTTTAATTCAAGGAAATAGCTATTGGATTTAAGTTTAATTTTATTTCTTTTCATCATTTAGTTCATTAATCAGTTTTTATCTTTTACCATTTCTCTAGATTTATTTTGATTTCTTTTTTTTACTTACTTTATTGAATTCTTGTCTTATTTAAAAACATTTGTAACAGTTTTGTTGTGATATTATTCATATAGCATACGATTTACCCAAATTTAAAGTGCACAATTCAGTGGTTTTCAGTATATTCATAGATATATGCAGTCATCACTACAGTCAATTTTAGAACATTTTTATTACCTCAAAAAAAACCCCTGTACACTTTAGCTATCAGCCCACCAGTCAATTTTAGAACATTTTTATTACTTCATAAAGAAACTCTGTACACTTTAGCTGTCAGCTCCCTATCTTCCATTCCTCTAAGTAACCATTAATGTAAGTAGAGTCATATATTATATAGTCTCATTACTGGCTTCTTTCACTTTGCATAATGTTTTCAAGAAACATCCACGTATATAACATACATCAGTACGTCATTCTTTATGGCTGAGTAATACTCCATTGTATGGATATAGTACAGTTTGTTTATCCATTCATCAGTGGATGGACTTTTTTTTTTAACCTTTTGAATGTTATGAGCAATGCTGCTGTAAACATTTGTGTACAAGTTTTTGTGTAGACATATATTTTCATTTATCTTGGGTATATATCTAGAGGTAGAATTGCTAGGACATGGTAACTCTGTTTTAACCTTTTGCAGAACTAGTAGATTTTTTCAAAGTGGCTGCACCATTTTACATTCCTACAGCAGTGTACAAAAGTTCCTTTTTCTCCACATCCTCCCCAGCACTTATTATCTGACTTTTTGATTATAGCCATCCTATTAGTTATAAAGTGGTATCTCATTGTGGTTTTGATTTGCATTTCTCTGATGGCTCATGATATTGAGCATCTTTTCATGTACTTATTGGCCATTTGTATATCTTTTTTGGCAAAATGTCCATTCTGGCCCTTTGCCTATTTTTCATTGGGTCATTTGTCTATTTACTATTGAGTTGTCTGAATTCTTTATATACTCTTCATATTTTCCACAATGTGAGTCCTTTATACCCTTATAAGGTGTATGATTTGCAATATTTTCTCCCAGTCTGAGTTGTTGTTTCACATTCTTGATAGTGTTCAAGAATATGAAGTCCAATTTATCTTTTTTTCTTTTGTTGTTCATGCTTTTGGTGTCATATATCTTAGAACCTATTGCCACATGTGAAGTCATGAAGATTT